GTAAGGTTTGTGTGTGGTCCAATAAATAGAGAGAAAATTTACACTTAAAAATGTGCTTGATACACAATCTGGCTCATTACATTTTCCTTACTCTGATAGAAGAAGCAGTATTTAAAAAAACAGCTATAAGTGGTTGTCTTAGAAGAAATTTCATGTCTAAAACATTTATTATTTTATTCATAAACAAGGGGAAAGTATAATTGCATATGACTTGTTTTACTTCCAAAAATTTATGCCAAATAGAGTAGATATGCTACTAATTTACATTGACATCTAAGCATTCTACTCTAAAATTTTAGGAAGTCAACATCATAGAGTTAAGGAGATTACTTTATTTCTAAGAACACTAAAAGACAAAATGTATTCCAAGAACAAGATAAAATTCTAATTTGCAGATGTATATATGATAGGGAAATTTTCATATAAATTTTATAAAGGAAATAGTAAGAGTTTTTAAATCCCCTATTTGGTATTTAATACCAAATTTTTATGCATAGATGAGATTTTTGTCATGGAAATTAAGGAGAAAGATTATTAAGATAGCATATCCAGCTTCAAATTAGAGTTTTCTGTGATGACAAATTGTTTAGGAATGAATGTTTTAACAGCATCTTTTAGATTAAGAAGATCTTTAAAAGAAGATCACAGTGTTTAATCCTGTCTGGTAGCACCCATTACTCCAATGACACACTACTAACCAAGTTCCAAGTCAATATAGAGTAAGCTAGTGACCAAAAAAAGAAGGAAAATAAGCATGAACAATTAAATAATATACCAGCATTGCCTTCCCATTCTAAGTAAGGCCAAAAATATGCATAATTAAAGTGAAAAATTAAGGTCTCAATAATTATTAATCAATCAAAACTTATTTTATTGATGAGCAAATTATACGAGGAACAAGCTGGAAAATCAACAATGCCACAGAGAATTGAATACAATACAACTCTGGTTTGGTTGGGGATGAAATTCCATTCACGGGCCAGGCGTGGTGGTGCACGCCTTTGATCCCAGCACTTGGGAGGCAGAGGCAGGCAGATCTCTGTGAGTTCAAGGCCAGCCTGGCCTACAGAGTGAGTTCCAGGACAGCTGGGGCTATAGGGATAACCTGTCTCAAAAAGACCAAAAAAAAAAAAAATCCATTCACATGAAATAATAAACAATACAGATATTTCTGTAAATGTGTATTTATACATAGCTGTATATGTAGAATGTTAAATTGTGTTAAATTGTATGGTGCAATACAGAAAGAACCGAGCAGAATACTGAATAGAGTTAAGCAAAGGGAATGTGAATAATAGCTCTCCGGAGATGGTCAGCCTTGAACTTGATCTCCAAAGGATTAGCAGAGAATAGATGAAAAGAAAATAGATAATTCATGACAAAATAATGGAGGCTACAGATGAGAATAGAAGACAACAGAATGGATTGCAGAGCAGTAAGGACATTCATGTCTGAAAGGACATTTGAAATTAGTATCATAAGCGGTAAGCAGTAAAACAGCCTATTGTTCTAGAGTCCACCAGTAAGATGCTAAAATTGGCACTGACAGGACTGTTGATCTAGTCTTATGAGAAGAATGAAACTGAAATTATGAAGACTACAGCAAACATGGCGTCCTGAAAAGGTGAAGGTCTGTTCTAGAACTGGCTGAAGGAAGGCAGAGGAACAGGGAGGCGGGACAGCCGCTTCTGCGGAAGGGGCTGCTGTTCATTTGCATGTGCGGCTGTAAAGAATGATCCAATGAAACACAGCACAGATTTTGCTGAAAGACCGACAGAAAGTTCAATAGATCTACAACATTAGCTAGGTAGTTGAAAAAAAAAAGATTATTGATTATTCATTATGGTTAATTGGCTTTCATTCCACTAAAGATGCTCTTTGTTGCCCGATCTGATTTCTGAGTCTTTTATGCAAAAATGCAGTAAAAATGATAGCAATCAGAGAAATACTTAATCACTCTAAGTATTCCATTTCTCATTATCCCTGTGGTGCTTCAGTTATCAGAGATTTTAATTCTGAAGAAATGTACTCTAGTGAACTCTAAACAGTGATCTTAAGCACTGGGCATTGTTTCCCTTTGTTTGAGCTGCAGTAATAATGTGGGAAGTTGGCATTGTCTCTTTCTATGTAGGTCCTTAATAATGACTCCCTGCATTCTGATTTCCTGGACATCTGGAGGCAGGGAGAGCCAGGAGAGGACAGTGACTGGGCAGCCAGCCATGTACCAGCTCATCTCGTGGTACACATGTGCCACATTAATCTGTTATCCAAAGTCTCTGCTTGAACTTAGAAAATGTTTACAATCGTTCCCATTTGCTATCACTATTAGGGGAAAATGTTCATTTTTATTAACCGATTTTATAAATTATAAAGAACATCAAATGTGACCACTGTCAACACTGGAGATTATTATATATAGCTTCGATATACAATTCATCCAAGGCCATTGATTAAATAAGGTCACTAATTATTTCCAATGAAAACAGCATTATTCTGAGTGATTATTTCAAAGTCAGTATTATTTTTCAGATGATTTTATACCTATATCAAAGTAATATATTGTGTATATTATGCATTGTATTCTCTATATATTGATATTATATCTAAAATAAAAATATAAGTTGATATAGTAGCTACCTATATTAAGTTCTGTTTGCCAAATTTTTTGTATATTTTACATATTTTATATTGCTTGTATGTGTTATGGATACTTCAAAACAATCACAGGCAGTGTTGCACATCTGCTTGTCGCAGACTGGCACATTATCATGTTGCAAGTGCATATGACAAGTAGGTGCCAAGGCCCTGGTCATCTGAGAACACATGGCTGCACCGAGCCATTCACATTTGTTTTTGAATAGATGACTCTTTTATATTTCATCTATTATTTTTTTTATGTGTATGAATGTATTGCCTGCATATATGTGAGTGCACCCATGTCATGCAATGCTGCAGAGGTCAGAAGAGGATATCGGATTCCCCTGAAACTGGAGTTAAGGACAGTTCATAGCTGCCATGTGGGTGCTGGGAATCATATGCGGGTCCTCTGCAAGAGCAGTCAGTGATCTTAACTGCTGAGCCATCTCTCCAGCCCCTTGAGTAGATGACTTTTAAGAACCAGTAAGTGTTTGTTTCCTCAGTTTTCACAGAAACTAGCTTTTCAGAATTAAAAATCTTTATATAACTTACCTAGTTTGTGCAGACCAAAGAAACAACACTCTTTTAACAAGTCCATGAATATATGTATGTGCACTTATATATGTTCTTAGCTATTTGTTTATCTAATGTTCTATATGGCCTTTTTAATAATAGTTATTAGTAAAAATTAGAAGGCTAAAAAACAATCCAATGTTTAGGAAAAGATGTGTATTTTTTAGACTGATCTCTTTGGGCTACTAATAAAATTAACTGTAGAGTTTATCTCTGAAACTTAACTATTCAGAAGACTAAAAAGATGACTATATGTGTATATGTATATGTTTTAGCATTATGTGTATATGTGTATAGATATATTCAGCATTAAATACATATACTGACGTCTCTTCTCAAAACCTAGACAATATCATGAAAAATTAATTCATGAATAATTTGTGGTTCATCAAGAAAGGCATGGCTTGCCTGTGGCTTACATTCTCCAAACTCTGAGCACAGTGTTACCAGGGATACAAAACCAATGTATGCTTCAAGTGAGATGGGGGATGACCTTGCATGGATTCATGAATGGCACAGATACAAAAACATCTTTCCAACCTAATCACAGAACTTCCAGATTTTAGAAACGTAATAGATTATAGCACTCTCCCTTTTAGGAGGAATGAAAGTAGTTTACAAGGACAAATTGCTGAGGAAGAATCACAAAAAAGAACGAAGTACAAATTTTTAAGATTTCTAACTTCATATCCAGTTTTCTTATCATTATGTTTCTTGCTTTCCCTCTTATTTCCTCTGAAAATATAAAAGCGTCATAGGAAATAGGCCTATACTTACATAGTACTCACTTTAGTGGTGCTTTCTTGACTTGGTTCTGGCACGCTGTGCAGTAAGAACTATTGCCAACTTCATCTGAAAGATTGAAATGGGACACGATGAGATAAAATAACTCCTCCCAGTTCAATCAACTGTTGTGTATTAGAGCTGAGATTCAAACCCAAGTAGTCAGGCTTCAAAAGAGTAACCACTCAGTTATCCCTCCTTTCATGTGAATGGTGTATGCTTTTTGCAGGTTTATTCCAATGAACACTTGAGGATTCTCATTATTCATTTCTTTAATTGGTTTCATACTCTGTAGATTGGGAGAGCAGTCATATTTCTTATAAAAGAGTGTTTTTTCTCTCTCTCTCTCTCTCTCTCTCTCTCTCTCTCTCTCTCTCTCTCTCAGTACTAGAACATCAAGTCCCTTGCATTAGCACTTGGATTATGAAGAATGCTATTCAGTCTTTTCAGCACTTCATATCCTACTTCTCCCACTTTACGTAGGAAGGGAGCATCCTCTTAGACTCTCTATGTCCACTTAGTGGTTTTCAGAACATAAAACAGGCTACAACTCTTCACTAGGTCAGCTAGAAGGATCTGCACAAAGATTCTCTTAAAAGAACAACCAACAGATAGCCCTTTAGAGATATAAAATATTAACCAGCCCTCGGTGCAGAGAGCAGAAGTCACATTATCATGACAAAAAAAATATAAACACTAAGCAATATGAAATTATGGGATAAAGAGCATAGGATTTAAATATATGTCAGAATAGTATAAGGAAAAAGAAATTGAGAAAAGGTGAAACTGAAAAGATTTTATTATTTAAGAGAATTCCAGGATGAGTGGAACTCAGATATGGGGTAGGTGCAGGTAAAATATTTGGAAACCCATGCAGAAATCACAAAAATGAAAGAAATCTTGGTGTGTTGAAAGGATGATGGGAATGAATGATTAGACTGAAGACAATTCTGGCACAGAGGTATATTAGAGAAAGTAAAAATTGGATATGATACATGGACTTTCAA